AAAAAATCAGGAAACCCTTTCGCCTTGGGGTTCCACCCCCCCGGGGGCAATATTTAAAAACCAGGGCCCCCCCGAACCCTTATAGAAACCTTCAACAGGACCCCGAACCCGGTGGGGACCCACCTTTCTCTCCGCCGACCTGTAAACCCTGGCCGAACCGTGACCACCCCGGCCCCAAACAACACACCGTAAAAAAATTTACAGCGGGATTTCACCAAAAGGGCGACACAAAGGCCCTCCCCCTCCGCCCCCCCCCCCACGGGAGACCTCGCCGGGGCGTCGAGCCGCAGGCCGCGAGGGACAACCCGCGGGAGAGCGCGAGGGGGGAGGCGGTTGGCCAGGGGGTGCGGAGGCCGCCGCCCCCCCCGCCCCCCGGGCCCGCACCTGGCTCCAGGTGATGAACTCGTTGGTGTGGGTCTCCTCCACGAGCGTCCACAGCTTGCTGAGGAAGGCGGGCACGTTCGAACTCTGCTTCATTGTTAGCGAGGCGCAGGGATTCCACATTCGACACCCGAACGCGGCAGTGGCGTCGGCGGCGACGGCAGCTGCTCCCCGAGAACGCCCACGACGCAGGCGCAGCAGCTCCCGGGCCCCGCCCCCCAGCCTCGCCGGGCGCGCAGCGAGGAGGAGAGGCCCCACGGCCGCCCGTGATGGACAGGGCTCCACGCTCCGCCCGTGCGCCCTGGTCCCGCGCCGGGCTCCGTCCCAGCCAATCCCGAGCGCCCGCTACGCGAAGGAGACTAGCGATTGGATACTAGGGAAGTGGAGGGGGTGGGAGCAGGAGGGGGGCGCTGCCTTCTCATTCGCCTTTTATACCAGAGTCCTCACGGTAGCGGACCTTTGGCTGAGGGACCTTGTTTGGCTGTTTCACGTGGGAGCAGCTTTGGGTTCCTGGGCCGTGGCTCCGCGGCTTCAGAAAGTGCTCACGGCCGGCGTTTGGCAGGCAGGTGTGTTTGCGCCAGTTAGCAGGGAAGTGTATAGTAATTCAGATGGGAGAGGGGTGCGGCTTTCAAGCACGATGTGTTAGGCCCTAAATTGAAACTATCTTAAAAATAATAAACCTAAAATAATAATAATAAACCGTGTTCTTAAGCTTTTTTGTTGTTTGCTTTTTATTTTGTTTTTAAAAATCTTTATTGTTGAGAGTATTACAGATGTCCTCTTTTCCCCACCATTGTCCCCCTCCACCTGGTTCTTGCCCCGCCCCAGGCCTTCTCCACCTTATGGTCTGTGTCCATAGGTAATGCGTGTGTGCATATAAATTCTTTGGTTAATCTTTTCCCGCCCCTTGCCCTCTGAGATTCGTCAGCCTGTTCCATGTTTCCATGCGTCTGGTTCTATTTTATTCATCAGTTTATTTTGTTTATTAGGTGCCTTGTTCGTTTAGTTTGATTTTGGGGTACAATTGGTGATAGATATGTATTTATTGTCATTTTTAGTCATATTTTTTATTTCTTCTTCTTCTTCTTCTTCTTCTTCTTCTTCTTCTTCTTCTTCTTCTTCTTCAATAATGCCTTTCAACATTTCTTACAATACTGGTTTGGTGGTGATTAACTCCTTTAGCTTTTTCTTGTCTGGGAAGCTCTTTATCTGATCTTTAATTCCAAATGATAGCTTTGCTGGGTGGGTAAAGTAATCTTGGTTGTAGGTCCTTGCTATTCATCACTTTGAATATTTTTTGCCACTTGCTTCTGGCCTGCAAAGTTTCTGTTGAGAAATCAGCTGACCATTGAATGGGCATTCCCTGCTTTCCTCTTGTTGCTTTTAAGATTCAAAATGGGCCCTTTAAAATATGTTTATCAAAAAGAGGAATTTAAATAGCTCACTAAATTCCTAAGGATGTACTTACTAATGTGACCCAGAATCTGTAATAGGCACCCTACATTTAATTCACTATATGTTCTACATAAGAAACAGTCTTCCTTACACTATTTTAACCAACTAAAATAATTGTTGCCACATGTATTTTGCAGGTATATTTTTATTTGCTGGAGATAGTTTAGTTATAGTTGGGGAAAAATGGACAAGGAGTCAGCATATCTGACTTTAGACCCAGATTCAAGGACACTTTAGTAGTGGATATTAAATTGCATTGATACCTTGTAATTTAGAGTAATCCCTTAATCTGTTGGTGCCATTCTTCCTCACTTACTCATTGAGAATAAGAATATCTCTATTTTAACCCATGTAAAGTATTAATAACATAGTAGGTTTGAAAATGCTTTTTTTTAAAAAATGAGCTAATAACACTTTATACAACATTTAACATAGGACTTTTTACTTCCAGCTGCTGCCGCCAGGCACCTGGGACCCGGGCTGCTTTGTTTTGGCTGCCACCGACAGGCACTCAGTTTCCCATGGTTCCTCGTTCGCCATGCTACCATCAGAGCCTGCGGGCCAAGGTGGTCAACGCACCTCATAGCAACTGGTCAAACGGTCGTTCTGGTAGTTATGGTCGCTGGTCTTTTATTATATAGGATATGAGTGAAAATACCTGCTATTCTCAACTTCACAGTGTTTTTGAGGATCAGATCAATTGCTTCTTCCTCCAGTCCACCCTCACAATCTTTACAGCTATCTTTCTAAAACACAAATCTGAAAAGTTTACTGCCTAATTTAAAGCCATCCAGTGACATCCCATAATTTTCAGAACAAATCCAAAGCCCTTAAGATAGCATAAAAGACCTTCTGTGATCTTATGCCGCCTACCATTCCAGTCATTGTCTACCTCTCCTCACAACACATTTCCTTTAGCCACACCCAACTGCATGTATTTACCTTATTAGCCATGTTCTTTCACACCTCTACATATTTCTGCAAGCTGTTGCCTCTGCTTGGAGAGCCCTTCTTCTCCATTTTCCTATAAGTTCCTCCTTAACCTTCAAGGTCAAGTACACTTCCATACAGACATCACATTTTTTGTGAGGCCTTCTTTGGAGACCTCTATTATAGCCCTTATTAAATCTTATTGTAATTATTCATTTGCACATATTTTTTTATATTAGGCTATGAAAATCCAGCATAAAGACAGTGTCATGTTTACATTCATTCTCATCTACAATGGCTATCACAGTGCTTGGTACACATTAGACTCTCAATAAATACTTGTCAAATTAATCAATGAATGCATTAACCTGAGCACTAATCATTCATTTAACTTTCAGGACCCTCAAATTTGATTAGTTGTTTCTCCCAGATGCTCCCATAGCATGTGGAACTTGACCTTTATGGTATTCACCGCACTGCTAATGCTCATTTACTTCTCAGAATCCCTCGTTAGCCTGACAGATTGTGCTTGCATCATTCACTCTTGTATACTTGGCAGTAAACACATTGTTAATAATATAGGAACTGCTTGAGAAATATTTGTTGAAGGAATAATTTTAGTTTTTGAAACCCTTTGGATAAAATGTCCTCTGCCTAGTAAGGAAACTCCTTACAATTAAATCTCAGTCCATATGAACTCTTCAGTTAATAAGAGAAGACAGTGAAGACAAGGAGAACGTAAGGATAGCTTAACAAAGAGGCATATGATTGAGGAGCTATTAGTGGAGCAAATATGAGAATCCTGACATTAGTGCCAGATATTAATGGAATGTCATAGAGTGCCAGGCTTGAGGTCATTTGTCTTTGAAATAAACAACTCTTTGGTGACAATGGCAAAATGCTTGAACACCCTATAGCAGTGATGGCGAACCTATGACATGCGTGTCAGAGGTGACAGGCGAACTCATTTTTTTGGATGGTTTTTCTTTGTTAAATGGCATTTAAATATATAAAATAAATATCAAAAATATAAGTCTTTGTTTTACTATGATTGCAAATATCAAAAAATTTCTATATGTGACACAGCACCAGAGTTAAGTTAGGGTTTTTCAAAATGCTGACACGCCGAGCTCAAAAGGTTCGCCATCACTGCCCTATAGTATGCTTTTGAGTAAGTTGAGAGCTAGAAGGCTGTTAAGGTTAATTTCTTAAAATTTTCAAGAAATAATTTTCTTTCGGGTGCAAAAGTCACTGTCTGGAGGAATTTTTAAAGTTAGGTTATGGGTTAGTACCACTTGCACTAGACTTGCCCTGGGACCGCTTCACAGAAAATTCCATTGTATGCCAAATTCTCTTGAATCCAACCACTCACCCATTAAGGGTGACGAAGAAGTCCAGGCTTGTGCAGGACATTTCTGTGTTGGTACTGAAAGTACTGCCTCAGTACTACCTCAGCCTGGGCGAACCAGGGTGATTGATCCCCAAACTCCAGTCTCTTCTGATTATTGATGCTGGACAGGAAGCAGGGACTCATTAAGCTAAGATGGTAACATGTATAGCAACTAGTGCACCTGAGGGATCTACAACTTTAGTGCAGCTCTTAGCCTATCTGAAAGAGAAGTGGAGGTACTCTTTCACAGGCACCCTTACAGCCAGCTGATAAATGAAGGAATCTATGTACCCCACAAATCAAGATCTTAGTGGAGGCCCAAGCCCATGCAGAGAGATGTTGATAAGAAAGAAAATTCAAGGCCAGAAAAGTTAAAAGGACTGGAAGCATTAGAAAAATGTTCGTTAGCGGCGTGGCCTACGATATAAGCCTTCTGTTATTTCCACTAAAATAGTATCATGCTAGGGCGCCATTCCCTGGGACTGGTCTTGCCCCAAAGGAAGGTGGTGGCCCAAACAGATGGTGTTTGGACGTCATCTTTCTCTGTAGTGGGGTTAAAGGATTATTTTATTCAAATCATTTAATGGTGAAGATCGGAGGGCCCTCAAAGATGAAATGAACTGGTCATATGGCTTAAGTGCAGAAGCCTACTCATACCTTCAATATAAAATTAAACCGGAGAAATTGGCTTCATTGAAGAGGTAGCCACTGTCACAGATGTGTGCTGTGGTCTGAGAGGTGAGAGGTGACAATGACTGGAACAATTCTGACTTCTTTAAGTTTTAGCCAAGTACTATGAGCAGCATTTAGGGACTAACTGGAAAGGGAGGTGTCCTTTCTACTCTGTGTGCTCCAAGGGCAGTTCTGTACAGCAGAGGTCAAGTAGAGGCATCTTAGGACAGAACGGATGACTTCTGACCTTTCAGAGAAAAGTCTGGCATTATTTGAATTAAGGAACTGCAAGAATACCTGAAAGAACCGCAAAATCCCTTACATATGGTGATTGACATATTTGCTATAACTTTTATTGATTTTTTAATTTTTATTTATTTTATTTTATTTTTAATATATTTTATTGATTTTTTACAGAGAGGAAGGGAGAGGGATAGAGAGGTAGAAACATCGATGAGAGAGAAACATCAATCAGCTGCCTCCTGCACACCCCCGACTGGGGATGTGCCCGCAACCAAGGTACATGCCCTTGACCAGAATCGAACTTGGGACCCTTCTGTCCTCAGGCCGACGCTCTATCCACTGAGCCAAAACCAGTTAGGGCTATTTTTTTTATTTTTTAGAGAGAGAGTGGAATAGAGAGAGAGAAGCTGCCTCCTGCATGCCCCCTACTGGGGATAGAGCCCTGGGCATGTGCCCTGGTTGGGAATCAAACGGGTTACCTCTTGTTTCATAGGTTGACTCTCAAC